ATATATATATATATATATATATATATATATATGGCGGTTCTAAAATACAAAAAAAAAATCTTATCTTACCAGGTATCTGGGAACTGCCTTTGAATGCGCACTACGTGGAGAGCTACGAAGGTGGACACTGTCCTTATCTGGATCAATGCGTTCTTCACAATCACGACCCCGAGGAGGTTTTCGAGTGGTTGCAGGAGGATTTCAACAGATATTACGAGCAGAACCGAGCGCCGTACATGATGCCTTTCCACACCAATTGGTTCCAGATCAAAGAGTTGGAGCGCGGTCTGTCAAAATTCCTCGACTGGACGGTGACGCTGTGAGTGAAGACACAGTGAGAACATCAGTGTTGTCGAAAATTAAACAACGTGTCTAAACGTAAATTCTATTTCTTTTTACAGACCTGACGTTTATTTCGTCACCGCCACACAAGCGTTGACATGGATGACTGACCCGAAACCGATCAAGGCCTTGCACAATTTCGAAGGATGGTCGTGTAAAAAGAAAGAGAACTTGCCGGGGCCACCGTGTAACAATCCGCATAAGTGCGCCTTAGATTTCAAGCCTGCCGAATCGAATTTCACAACAACGAGGTAGAAATCGATTCGATAATTGCTTGATTATTGGCAATATGCATATTAAAATTTCTGGCTTCTCAAAAATTTAGGCCACGACCATCTTGATTATGACATCAGAAATGAGGAAATAAATATTAAAAATTTTTATAGAATACATTGATATAAAATTATATATTTATAAAATAATATTTGCAATCGATTCAGCAATCACGTAAAATGATTTGAACATTGTATTTTTACTTTAACAATCAATAAATAGTCGTGAAATTAACGTGACAAAATCATAAAAGAAGGTAGAGTAGGTTAAAAAGGAAAGTTGCATGTCACATTAATTTCACGGTTGTTTATTGATTGTTCGAACAAAAGGAAAACGTTTGGATTATTTTACAAGTTCTGCTTAATGGATTGCAAATGTCATTTGATAGATCTTTTTATTTTAATGTATTTTGCAAAAACTTTTAGTATTATTTCTTTTAATGAATTTTCTCACTTCTGACGTCATGAATCAAGAGTTCCGCGGCGAGGATCCAAGAGTTTTAAATAGTCCCGTTATTTTAGTAAAACAATTGTAAATATGAGATCTAAAATTTAAAATTACTTTCAACAGGTACCTGGAGACGTGTAGAGAGTGTCCGAACAAATATCCGTGGTTAGGAGATTCAAAAGGTACAGGGTTGTACAATGACAATTACAATCCTGAAAAGAAATAGGAGCTTCAACGAGTTAGATTTAATTTTAGCGCAAGCGATTTGCGTCTCGCCCGTTGTTATTAAAATGGATGCTGCGTGTGATACATCTAATAGCAGGCGTCTCGCTCCTTCTCCAGCACCAGGAAAAAATACTATTGATACAAATGGGTGTTTTTCAAATGTACAACTCAGCGTGCGTGAACTTGTACTTTTATTCTCGTACAGAGCACATACTTGACAATCGTTCACAGACACCTATAATGTTAAGCGTATACTGCTCGATCTGGACTATTAACAAAGAGAAAATAAAGTGTATCCGTGCTATATAAAATCCCATAAACCACATTCTTTCTTTCGCAGGATAACAGCAATCTGAAATGATTATTCTTGTACATGTGTTCTCTTTACAGAATATACTTATTCTAAGACATTCACAAAAGCAATCTCTTATCATAATATTATATTTAAAATTGGTCATTTTATTGACCGTAACGATACATTTTAATATTGTGTATAAGTATATACATATATAGTACATCTACATTTATTATGTTGAATCACATTGTTTGTTTACTGTCAGAGAAGTGTTCACAATTGTCTAAATAAACAATAGTAATCACCTAACGTATGGGAGTCCATGGCTCAAGTATATCAGCATTTTTTACACGTACTGAAAGGAAAAAGAAAATAAAGAGATAATCAAGTAACATATATCCTAAACTTAAGTAGACACTAAAGAAATTTTGGAATTCTTCTTTTTATTAAAATTACATATAACATAAATCATAGTATAAATTATAGTATCTTTGTATAGTAACTAATTTAATAATACTTCCTACTATTTCTTTTCATATATAATATTATCAAAAAAATTCATACCTGGCTCAGGAAAAAGTTCTGGATGCAGCATAACATAAGTTCTTAATCTAGTATCACGTTCAGCTTTGAAATGGTCAATTACTGTATTCGCCAATTGTGACACCATATATCCTCCTACTATAGATGCAACATGCATCTGCACACCTTAACATAAGTATTATTCTGATATTATATAATTGTTAAAGTTGTTTCAATAATGAGTGATTATCAATATAGAACTAAAGAACATAATAATACTGTATTATCAAACTTTAAATGCCGTTTGGAGTATTTAAAATCAAAATAAAATCTTAAACTAAATATTAAATTTACATTAATATTATAGGATCGTATTTTCAATTGTAGGTCCATCATAACAATAAAAATCTTTTACTATCAAATCTAACCTAACAGAATATAGAAACAGACAAGAATTACTTACTGATCGCAATGCATTACATAAGCGCGTCATGAGGTTATGTTGCAAAATGTAAAAAGGTATTTCTGTTTACAGGAATAGTATTGTATATTAATAAATATATTTACCAGCAAAAATTGGCCTGCTAATAGCAACATTTCTTATGCACCCAGCTGCAAAAGCACATCCAATACATAATATTTCTGACGTATACTTTTGCAAGATACTAGATTCATAATTGGGATCAGGTTTCAGTAAATTTAGTGCCCATTGAATATCAGGATTTTCTGAGTATTGTCGTTGTTCACTCATTTTGCGTTCGCAAATTCTCCCTTCGTACTAAACTATAATTACGGTGATATCTCACCACACGAAGCGTAATAATGTATGGTCTGTGGCCTGTTCTTTTTAACTGCACTGCTACACTGGTGCAATAAGCTAAAGTGAAATAAAATATATTTGTCTCACTCTAACTTATTACACCAGTGTAACAGTGCATCTGAAAACTTCAGAGGTCTGTTCTTTTCAGCTGCACTGTTACACTGGTGCAATAAGCTAAAGTGAAATAAAATATATTTGTCTCATTCTAACTTATTGCACAAGTGCAACAGTAGATCTGTTCTTTTTCCCTGCACTGGCGGCACTAGTGCAAGCAATGTACACTAAAGTGTTCTTTTCAACCAGAGAGCGCCTGAGAGCGGCCACCGGCTTGATTTCAGCGACCAGAGCTAGGCGCATTTTAGATACGCCATCTAAAAAATGCGCCTAATTACGTTCGTCAGGCGCACTTTAGCAGTATATACTTTCATACAATGATAGTAAGTTAGAAAAGGACAGACGTCCAATCGCTCTATTCTTGTCTCACCAGATACAAGAGCATTTTTCAAAGAAATGTTTCAAAGTTTACTTGTTTTCAATTAAATAATAGGAAAAAGGGCTAATTCGAGTTTAAGCACAGGATTCATAATGTTATGTACCATATGGGTAAAACCTTCCTTGTGTTAGGAAATAGAGCAATATTTATTGAACATGAATACTCAATATAAATAATCAAACGTTTCGGCTCAATCATGAATCCTCTTCAATGATATAAAAATTCAAGGTTTACAAAACGAGCGCATTACAA